GACACCTCAGGAACACCTCGGGGACATCTCAGGGACATAGGGACACCTCAGAGACACCTCAGGGACATCTCAGGGACATGGGGACACCTCAGGGACATGGAGACATTCATAGGGACATGAGAACATCCATGGAAACACCTCAGGGACACCTTGGGGACACCTCAGGGACATGGGGACACCATGGGGACAGGAGAACATCCATGGGGACACTGCAGGGACACCTGGAGGCCGGTCCAGGGCAGCCACGGGGACACCCCGTGGAGCGCGGTGGTCTCAGGGACGCGGTGCCACCCTTGTCCCCGTGCCCAGGTACGGCTTCCTGCTGGACAAGGCCCTGATCATCTGCAAGCGCCGCGGGGACTCCTACGAGACCAAGGACGTGGTGGACCTCCAGAGCCACCAACTGCACGATGGTGGCCTCGGAGCCCGTGACGGCAAGAAGGTACCAGGGACACCGTGGGGACACCGTGGGGACACCATGGGGACACCGTGGGGACATCAGGGCCTGGGGGACCACAGTTCCAGGTTCCTCCAGTCCCAGCATCTTCTTCCCAAAGGACCCAGGTGGACACAAGTGTCCAATCTTGTAGATGCCAGGATCCTGGTCACTGGTGGACACGTGTCCAGTTCCAAGTGGTCCCAAGTGTCCAGATGCTGGTGGTCCCCTGGTCCTCTTCCCAGTGACTTCAGAGGTCCTGGTGGATCTCAGGATCTTGGTTACTGGTGGTCCCAACATCCAGGTCCCTCATGGACAAAAATCTAGTCCCTGGTGGACCCCAAAACCCCATTCCCTGGTGGACCCCCAAAATCTGGTCTCTGGTGGACCCCAAAACCTTGTTCCCTTGTGGATCCCTAAATCTGGTCCCTGGTGGACCCCAAAACCTTGTTCCCTGGTGAATTCCGAGATCCTGGTCTTTGGTGGACCCCAAAACCTTGTTCCCTGGTGGATCCCCTAAATCTTGTCCCTGGTGGACCCCAAAACCCCATTCCCTGGTGAATTCCCAGATCCTGGTCTTTGGTGGACTCCAAAAACTCCCAAAACATTCCCTGGTGAATTCCCAGATCCTAGTCTCTGGTAGACCCCAAAATCTTGTCCCTTATGGATCCCAAGATCCTGGTCCCTGGTGGACCCCCAAACCCTGTTGCCTGATGGATCCCGGGATCCTGCTCTCTGGTGGTTCCAAATGTCCTGATCTGGTGGACCTCGACATTTGGGGGGCATGGCTGACCCCTCCCCACCCCGCAGTGGTCCCACACCTTCACGCTGCTGGACGCGGCCGGGCTGCCGGGCTACGAGCTCTTCTTCAAGACGAGCGAGCTGAAGAAGAAGTGGCTGGAGCAGTTCGAGATGGCCCTGTAGGTGGCCCCGTCCCCACGGAGGAGGTCACACCT